ACCTTTACATTTCCAACCCTCACAATCAGTCCTGATAACAATTACTCACTATTGTATCACAAGAGCCCTGTCTGCATTTCATTGCTATGCAACTCTTATCTCTTCATTTCTTCCATCTCTACACTGCAGAGCAAGTATCAGATTCTCTTCTGACATCTGGTTTGTTTTTTTCCTTCTTTCTTGTCTTCTTAATGACCCTTTTCTTTCTTCTTGTCTGATGTTCTTGATGTCATCCCATGACTCTCCTGGTCTTTGGTTTTTAATGCATCAAATTTGTTCTTGAGAGGATCTGTACATTCAAATGTTCAAAATCATATTTTTGCTCTTGTGGACTCATTTTCATTTTGTTCGGCTTCAGCCGGAACTTGCATATGAGCAATTGGTGGTCTGTTCCACCATCTCTTTCTACAGGCATCATCAGTTTGATTTCTGTGTGTTGGTGAGGTCCATGTGTATAGTGTCTTTTATGAAGTTTAAAAAGGTTTTTATAATGAAGAAGTCATTGGTCTTCCAAAATTCTGTCATGTGATCTCCAGCATCGTTTCTATCACCAAAGTCATAGTGTCCAACCTTTGCATTCTAATCTCCAGTAATTATCATTTCATTTTGATTGCATATTTGATTCATATTGAGAAGTTGGTAAAATTCAGTTTCATCATCTCTAGCTTTAGTGGTTGTGCGTAAATTTGAATAAAAATTACATTACCTGGTCTTCCTTATAGGTGTAGGGATTTTATCTATCACAGACAGCATTGTACTTCAGGAGAGATCTTGAAATGTTCTTTTTGATGATGAATGTGACACCATTCCTCTTCAATTTGTAGTTCCGCCATAGTAAACCATGCGGTTGTCAGATTCAGACTGACCAATACGGTGCATTTCAGCTGACTTAATGCCTTGAACATTGATCTTTATGCATTCCATTCATTTATGACAACGTGCAATTTTTCTAAATTCATACTTTCTGCATTTCTTATTCTGATTATTAATATTTGTTTACTATTTATACTGTGTGGGTTCCAGAGTGCTGTGAAATATACGGGGAAGGCAGGGCAGCTGAGATTAGACACCCAGCTCTCAGGCACAGCTGTGCATGGTCACTGGCCCCGTGACCCCTGTAAGTCTTCCTAATCTTTACCATCCCCAGCTGCCGTTGTGCTTCATGCCCACTGCTGATGTTCTCAGCTCAATTCCACCCTCCTCAATAGCCACCTCCCTCAGGCTCTGCAGGTTGATACTGAGCTCACTTTAGGGAGGCACGTACTGTGAGCCTTGGTACTTCTTTTGTGTCCCCCTCAACCCTGAACTGATAGAACCAGGGAAGAAGGGGTCAGTAACTTCCATGGTGTAGTGATCAGACATTTGAGTTCTACTGGCTAGAAAAAAAGAGGCTAAGAAGAGGACATGGGAGAGAGTCAGCCAGTGTTCCCTGGTGGATGGAGCCTGACCCTGTGGTCACGGCTGCCTTCTGGCTCTGTGAGTTTCCTGGGTCCATCCTCACATATTCCAGGATGGGCAGAGCCTGGTTCTGTGGTCGCAAGTCCTTCCTTAAGTCCAGGGGCAGTCACTAAACCAGCTCCATTTCCCAGACCCTTCAAGCTGGCATAGGGGGCAGCAATCAGAATCACACCTAGAATCAGTACTCTTAGTGGCCTGCTTAGGGTTGTGTTGAGCATCCCCTGACCCCAGCACAGCTCCCAGGACAACACAACAGTCCGGCCACAATGGGAATCTGTCCTAAGTCAGGCCGCTAAGGAGTTCCAGGAGCTCTGGTAGCATAGTGGTTACGAATTGGGCTGCTATTCTCAAGGTCAGCTGTTCGAAACTATCAGCTGTTCTGCAGGAGAAAGAGGCTTTCTGCTCCTGTAAAGATTTATAGCTTCGGAAACCCTGTACACTGTCGCTATGAGTCAGAACTGATTTCCAAGGCACACGACCACCACAAATGTTGTTAAACAGTTGACCACTAGTGGTTCAATCCCACCCAGAAGCACATTGGAAGATCCCATGTAATCCTGTCAAGTTGTGCATGGCAGGGCCTGGGGAGGATGGATAGACTGCAGATGCCCAACAGTATGTGGTGATGCTGGGTTGCAGAGTAGCAGGTCCAGTATCCTTGACCAGCAGGACAGTGCAGGCAGGCTCGTCTGTGAGGGCGACTGTAGGCAAGCATGTACCCAGTTTGTCTCTAGTGGCAGCCAGGTAACATAGTGCACTGACAAAGTAACATCTAGAGTCGACGGCATGGAACAGAGCTGGTTCCAAATGGAGCACCTGAGACTTCAGTCTGCTGGGTGATTCTCAACTACCGAGACTTCGATGGCACGGGTGTGGGTCCTGTTTGCCAATATCCTAAAAGATCAGAAGCCACGTTTCCCTAAGAAGACTAGCTTTCCACAACTGACAGTGTTAACACAAGAAATAAAAGTTATTTGGGCTACAAAACAAAAAAGACTTAGTGAGACAGAACCCACATTCCAGGAATTATGGGTAAAGAAAGGGTACCCAGTGTCAGAGTCAAATCCAGACCTGGACCATCAGGCTTCTGTAGGAAGGCAAGCTATGCTGTTGGCATGCTGATGACTTGCTGTGGTGAGAATTCTACTTCATGGAGTGGGTCTTCTCTGTGCATGAAGTGGGCTGTCTGTTCTAGAATCTCAAGTTTTGAAAGGACCCCAACCTCAGGTCTACTCCCTGACACTCTGGTGTTCAGAAGTTGAAGTAGCCCTCATTGTTGAGTTGCTTTTCCTTTCATTTCTTGCTGAAATCAGAGTCAGAAGCTCGGGTGAATGTTGTATTCTTTTCCCCTCAATATATTCAGAGAAAGCGTCGTGGTGGAACAATAAATTCTAGACAAGCCCAGAAGCGAACTCGAGAAGCTCTCTCCACACCGGAAATGGCCGTGGAAGCAGAACCCATAGAACTTGAGGAAAGTGGTAAGCTGATGTGTTAAAGTGGGGGTGTGTGTGCAGTGTGTTGGATAGGCACGGAGTCTGTCGATAGTCCACTGTGGGGCCTGGTGCCAGTCACACAAGCTCTCTCAGCCTCCCGTTCCTCGCTGACATGGATACTACTGATAGCAGCTGTCTATAGCCCTGTGGTCACAGTGCGTGAAGAGGTGACAGGCGGATAGTGGGATACACTTAGAACGGCGCATGGCACTTAACATCCAAGGATTCGCTGTGGTGAATCCCCTGCTAGTGTCTTTAGAGGACCCCCAGAATCGGACTGTGTAGGTTTCCGCCACCAACCATTTTTTCCCACTCACAACTGAATGCTCACTTGTCCCTTTTGTCATTAAACATTCAGCCCAGTGGCATGCTGCCTGCCCTGGGCCTACCTTTTCTACTTTACTTCCGAAAGCTCAGCTTTCTGCTCCTATTTTTCATGCCAACAGAACCGTGAAAATGGCAAGCTTGTTGGCAGAGGCCCCTTTGAGAAAGGAGTGTGCTGTCATGGCAGAGGCTGCCCCAGGTCCCTGTTCTGCCGTGTTCACAGTTGCGGTGCTGAAAGAGAGGCCACCCTGTACGAGGTGCCTGTCCTGCTCAGACTGCCCCTGATCCCAATGGCCACTTCCCACCAGGGATCCCGAAAAGGTTTTGATTGAGTATCTCTTCCGTTTGGGGGTTCCTTTCCCTCTATTTCCACCATCCCAAGCCCATGTCTCCTGAACTCTCCTGGCAAAGCCAGTGCAGGAGAGTCAGGCAAGCACTTAGGGAAATTTTGTGGTTCTGGAAGAAGTAGGTTGGCCAGCTACACTGTATCATGGCTCCCGTTCCTGTAGAACTTGGTCATGCCCGAGGGCAGAGCAAGCTAGAGGAGCCTAAATGCATGCGAGTCACTTTCTCCAGCTATTTTACCCACCACTGGCGAGTTATGTGCCGCTCATCAGCCCTGTACTCAGGGGATCCCTGTTTGATTGTGTTTTCAGTTTGTATACTAGATCCAAGGGGTCCCAGTGGTGCTGTAGGATAAGCACTGCACTGCTAACTGCAAGGTGAGTAGTTCAAACCCACCAAGTGCTCCTGTGTGCTTCTGTGAAGATCCACAACCTTGGAACTCACTCGACAGCACTTAACAACGGCAGTGAATGAAACTGTACACATCAAAGCATCCAACAACACAGCCTTTCTATATACCACTCCTCAGTGGCATTGATGACATTTTTCATGCTGTGCCCCCCAAAATGCCACCATGAATATAAACTGAGTACCCCAAAACAAAAACTCTCCCTGCCCACCTTTGGGAACACTAATCATTTTGTGCATATATTTTTAGTTCATTTTTTAGTTGTTGTTTTGTTTTTGCAACAGATTCACTCAGCATTTCTTCAAGGTCTGCCCATGGGTGACAGCTGGCACCAGCTACTCATGTAATTATATTGATGACGCCACTTTCCCTCCTCCTGCTTTCTCAGTAATCAGTATAAATAGGTTTCACTTTTTTTTTAAGCTGGAGATGAAATAGTGGACCTCACCTGTGAGTCCTTGGAGCCTGTGGTTGTTGACCTGACCCACAATGACTCTGTTGTGGTAAGTGAGCAGTGCTGAGAATGGGCTGTTCTATGGCCAAGCTAGCAGCCGAGGCCTTGGGTACAGCTTGTGCCAAAGAAATGCATGGGCATTTAGTGACTGGAACCCGGAATGGGCCACACGTCAGGAACGTGGTTTGCTGTGGCTGTGGTGTCGCTGCTGCAGGTCCCTGTGACTCTGCTCTCCACAGGAGGCACTTGGTGGGTAGGGGAGGCTACACCCCTCTCCTCAGTGCCAGTTCTCTACAGCTGTTCCACCAGCTGTGTGATCTTGGGCATGATGCTTAGCCTCCAGAAAATGTGCCCAGAGTTAATTGTGAGGATTAAATGAGATCCTATGCTGGAATGGCTGGCTAAGGGACGCCTGCCCAAGTGGAGGGACAGGGGACACTGGGAAGTCAGTGTGGGCCTGGGGGTGCAAATGCCTGCATTGCCACCTGCTGCCCTTGGTTACGTGACTTTAGGGAGACCTGGACCTGGGCTGGCTGCCTTGTCCCTCCCCAGAGAGAGGGTGTAGAGGGCCCATGCATAATCAGAGGCCTGCATTGTGGTTCAGCAGCCACACGCCTGAGTATCTGGGTGAGAGATAGCCACTGTAGCTTTCACTGACCTAGTGTCGAGTTCGGGTGTAAAGGGCGTGTTCTGCAGTGTTGGAGAAGTGTCTTCAGGCCCTGCTGAGGGATGTCAGGAGGTGGAGTGGGAACTCTCATGGCTCGCTTTGAGCAGGTTACAGGGCTCAGGGGTGGCCCATAAGCTGTTGCCTCCTGGCTCTGTTTTGAACTTGAGAACAGGGTTTCACTAAATTCCCCCAAGTGTGGCAGAAGATGAAAAGGGGAAGGCAGACAGGCTTGACAGTCTGTTCTCTAGTCCTGCCCACATCCCAGGGGACAGCAGCTGCCTCAAGAGGAGCCAGGAGCTTCCTGAAGGTTGGTTGAAACTTGCTAAGTTACATGGGGGTGAGCGTAGATTTGTCTGCTTGGGCTTTTGTATGTGTTTTGAGATCCGTCTCTACCAGCAGCTTTGTGTAGGGATCCCTGGTATTTTGGAAAGATAGTTTACTGTGGTACCTCGCCTGGAGCCCGCAGCCCAGTTACTGATTAACTCTAGAAAACAGTAGCATGGCATTGTATTCTCAAATGCCCAGTGATCACCTGCATCGTGCCCAATCTCTGCCAAGCCTTGGGGAGGAAGCGGAGATGATGGCTCGCTGCTGAAAACCATGTGATTGGTGTCTGTTGGCTGACAAAGTGATATCCTGATGTCCTTTTGTGGGCTACCCAGACTGCTTCCACTGTCTGGCCTTCCTCATCCCCCTGGAGTTGACTCTACCCTCAGTCATCACCACCACCTTCATTTGGGGTTGCCTGATTAACCTTTTTCGGGTCTGTAGTTGGGAGACGGGGAAGAGAAAGTAGAACTTGGCTGGGCTGGGTAGATAGCCCGATTGACGGCTGCTAAGGAACGGGTCGGGGATACGTCAGGACCTCTACTCTGGCCCCAGTGCTTGCAGCCAGCTGACGATGGTTCTGGAATCGCCAGGTCTTCCTGTTTGCTGCTTTGCTAGTTCACTGCCTCCGCAGGGCAGTCTGCTCCCTTAACAGTGAGCAGTGCAGCCAAGCAGTGTGCTGAAATGCTCATCTCAGCACCTCTGAAGAAAGCTCACTGGAACTCACTCAGGCCAACCCACAGCTGTCAGGTCCATGCTGCCTCGTCAGGATCCTGCAGGACAAGGTAGAACTGCCCCCCTACAAGGTTTCTGTATGGAGGCACACTACAAACAACATGGTTCTTCTACAGAGCTGCTGGTGTGTTCCAACCTCTGACTGTTGGCTTAACAGCCAAGCATTTTAATCATTGCACCTCCAGGACCTTCCACTTCACTTGGGATGTTGTTGCTGTTAGTGGCGTTGAGTCGGTTCCCACCCATAGTAACTTGGGGTAGGGTATCCTTTTTAAGATGAGCTACATATTTAGCATGGCGCCAGGTATCGGCCTGCTGAGAGTGGGGAATAACTGAACGTCCAGGCCGTCGGGGGCTTACAGACGACGTCGGTTCCTAAATGAGTCTTTACTGTTGTTAGGTGACCTTACGTGCTCCTTGGAAACTGTATCCAGGGTTGCTGTGAGTCGGCACCAACTTGATGGCATTTAACTATAACATACACACACTGAACCAAAAAACTGAAAGGTAGATTTCAGTCGTCAGGTTGGTGGTTCAAACTCACCTAGCTCTTCCTCAAAAACCCTGCCCAGGCTTGCTGAGTCGCCACTTAACAACTCTCAGATCTCTTTGTATCGGCTTGACTCATGGATTATTTAGCAGTATATATTTCTCAACAGCCACCCAGGGATTTTCATTTCATTGCTCTTTTTTTGCATTTCATTGTAGTCTTAAAACATCTGTTGTGAGGTCATGGTTGTAAAAGGGTTACCTTGCCCTCCCCCTGCAGGCCCGCTTTAGGCCTGGACTTTTGGGTTCCGCCCTGTGTGAGACTTTCCAGATCCTGTGCTGGGGTTGGGAACTATTCTGTGATGCCTTAGTTCCCTGGGTTACTGCTTTCCTTTCCATTTCCTCCCAATCATTCCTTTTCTTTTTGTCATAGCTTTTATTTAAAAACAAAACACCCTTCTCTTGGATTTGGTTGTTCTCAGTGAGTCGATTGGTTCAGATAGCTTGCTGCCGTTTGTCAGTCAGCTCTGCTTACTCTGCTCTGTGGGGGTGGGGGGCAGTGAGGGGTGGGCAGGAGATGCCTTCATCTCTAAGAGCCGTCTCTGAGGGTGCTGCTCTTAAGCAGGGTACTTGCTTAGTTTTTTTCTCCTTCACGGATTTTCATGAGATGGTGTCGGGTTGCTTTCCTAGAATCCTCCTTGGTCTCAGCAGAGCTTCCTGGGATCCCATGTCATCTCTGTCAAGGTGATAAGTGATGAAGCAAGACCTTAGCCACCAGGCCTCAGAATGGGGGCCCAGTTGTCTGTGCAGTGGGTGGGCTATCTGACTGGTGGCAGCCCTAGCGGCAGGCAGAGGACTGTGGTATGTGCAGTTTTGGGGTGGAGATTATGATCAAAGTGCCCCAGGCCTGTCTTCAATAGGTCAAGTCCCCAGCTGTCCCCACAGTCACACTCTACAGCCCTTTCCAGGGGGCAGTGGGACACCGTCAGTAGCTCCAGGCGCTGAACTGTCTGCAGAGCTGCCTCTCATTGTGAGTACAGTCACTTCCCAGCAGCACTTGGGATAGGAGCCTGGGTTTGGGCATTTCTACTTCGCAGTGCCTATGGCACAGACAGACTGTCGTTGTCACCAATGTTGAGTAGAATTCTTGGCAGTGCTGAGCGAGCACACGACCCCTGGCCCTCTGCCGAATAGAGTCTCCTTTAATCCTCACATCAGGACCCTGTGGGGGCAACCCTGATGCCTCTGGTTTACAGAAGGGCAACGTGCCTTCCCACGTCCAGCAGCCAGCCCCCATAGATTCAGTCATGGCTATGGGGGGAGCACAGTGGGTTTACTGTCCCTCAGCCAGAGTAGAGTCCGGTGACGGGGGCCGGAGCTGGCAGAGCTGCTGCTACTGAGGGCTGGGTGGAGGCAGGGTCGAGGGGCTTTGCCTCGCCTAGGGTTCCCTGAAGGGTTCCATACACACCATACATCCAAAGCAAGAATCGCTTCAATGTTGTCATATAAGAGTAGTGTTAAAATCTTTTCATTGAAAATTGCATGTCAAACTGACCGCTTCTCTCTTCTCTCTCCTTCCCTTTAAAGATTGTTGAAGGTGAGTGTCTCATCTGCATTGGGGGAGGAGAGGACTTAGGTGCTGTGTCTGACACTCGGAAGGGGGAGACACATCTGTCAGAGTATTGTGGCCAGAGCTGCACTTTCAGGCCCCTGTCAACAACCTGGAGTTCAGGGGCAGCTGTTCCTCCTCTGGGGCAGGGATGGGACATCAGTTTCTCTGGGAGGATGTTGAGGGTTTTCCCAAGCAGGAGTGGGAGGGTCATTGGACGCCCAGGGTTGGTGGGTAGTGGGTGGAATGTGCCAGGGAGGCCCCAGCCTGAGTATCCACCTCCTACCATAGAAAGGCGGCGGCCCCGGAGGACAGCAAGGAGACTACGCCAGGAACACACCGACAGCTGTGTGGTGAGCAGTGATGATGATGACTCGTCCAGAGACCGAGATGTGTATGTGACCCCACACACGCCCAGAAACACCAGGGAGGAGGGCACGGTGGGACTCAGGTACAGCGCTCGGTCAGAGTAGAGGTGGGGCGGTGGACTAGAAACACTAAACATGGGTGCCAACCATTGGGAGAAAATTGGAGCTGGACACAGCTACTCTCCCTATGTTGACCAGGGTGGGCTAGGCATCAGCTGGGCGAAAGGAGATGTCTGGGCATTTCGTGAAAGACACAGTCCCCAGCTGCCAGCCCCACGTCCCTTGCGGGCCCAGACCCAGCTTGGCCTGAGCTGTGCTCTCAAGCCCTGGCTTCACACTCTTGAGGTCTGAGTGAGTGGCATGGGCCTGCCATGTGCTTATGGGGGCTAGAGGCTCTAAGGAAGCGTTGGGTGGAAGTGTTAGGGTTTGCCAAGACACTGACCCAGCACCCTGTGCTTTCAGGCCTTCCGGCACTGTCAGCTGTCCTATCTGCATGGATGGGTACTCCGAGGTAAGTCACCACAGGCCAGGACTTAATCAGAGGGTATATCTGCTGTGGGTAGCGTTCAACACTCCTCCCTCCTGTTCTTCCCCCCACCCCAAGTCATCATAGGCTTGTGGAAGATTTATGTCTGTCTAGGGAGAGCATGCTAGCTCCTTCTAGCCTAGGCCTCGCTGTACAGCATTGTGGGCCCCTCATCCTGGCCCTGGGTAGAAGCTGCAGGTGGTTTTTGCCCACCCTGTGCCCAGCACAGCAACTCTGAACTTCACTGAGCCCTGAGGGCCAGAGGACTGGTGCCCCTCATGAGCCTCTTGATCTGCTGCCGCAGGGGAGGGAACAGGGAGCTAGAGTTCTCACGTCCTGCTCTGGGTCTCCCCGGAAGGAAAGCCCATAGACTCCATGCTGCCCATTGAACCCCTGGACTTGCCCTTCTTCTCACCTCCCAGCTTTGGCAACGTATAGGGGTAACCAGGGTCATCTCATCTCAGCTCCTTCCTTAATGCTTTTCTAGATTGTGCAGAACGGACGTCTCATCGTTTCCACTGAATGTGGGCACGTCTTCTGCAGCCAGTGCCTCCGTGATGCCCTTAAAAATTCCAACACCTGCCCAACATGTAGGAAAAAGATCAACCACAAGCGGTACCACCCCATTTATATATGAGGTACACAGTGCTACTCAGGAGACACGGAGGGACAGCCAGGCAGCAGGACTGGATTCTTCCCGGAACCCTCTGCAGGAGCTGTGGATTATCAGCCTCCCGTTTCCTGAGCTCAGAAAAACTCGTTCAAAATCAACGCCTGATTCAGTGACTTGTCTGTTTCCACCCCCCTCTTAGATCTTTTTCTCTCTAGGGGCCTTTCCTGACCAGGGTCGCCACCTCTGCTGCTTGGAGGTGGCCTGCCTGCCCTTCCAGCCTGTGATCACCAAGTCCCTTCCCCTGGATCTCTTGTGGCTTCCTGGCTGGCCCACCCGGTGGAATTGAGAGTCGTAGTTCCAGCGTCTTTCTGGAATCTGCATGCTTGTCGAGACGTTTCCCCGTAACCCAGCTTCCTGCCATCGGTGTCACTGAGGGACTGGCGCTGGGCTGTAAGCGAGCAAGTTTGCCCACCACACCATGACCAAGTGAAGCTCTGCCCCCCAGCTGCACACATGGAGACTCTAGGAAGACCCCACCAGATTCTTTCTTTCCTGACATCAAAGTCATTCATTGATGCCTGGTGGTGGTTCTGCCCATCCAGAGAGCCTCCGTCTGCAGGGAAACCCATTCCCCTCGACAACAAATGTGCAATAAGCCCATTCTTCTCAGTAGCCCAGATGTGGCCCTGAGCCGTGGTGTCATCCCCGTGTCTACACCACCAGCTGTTCTCAGGAACCTCATAGGTGTTCACCTGGCGCAGGACATGCAGGCTCGGCAGGTGGCCCACGTTTTCTGATAAAATTCATCCTGTGCTCACCACATGCCCTTTTCCCTCAGTCCCCCTGTGAGCTCATGCCATCCGTCTGAGCATGGGGATTGGGAGGTGGTAGCAGCAGCCTTGCTGGCCACTCACTTCCACAGTATTGCCCAGGTTCCTTCTGTCCCTTGTTTTAAAGAACTTGGGCCCCACCTAATGTCAACTGGACCACTTGTGACAGTCTCATAAGCTGTTCTGGTCCTGCAGCCTCTGACCCTTTGGGCTCTGGACTGCTCCATCAGTTTGGTTGGCAAAGTGTGATGTCTCGGCAGGGAGCTCAGAAAAGACCTCTGGTCACCAAGGTGACCAGGCCTCCCTGGAGGTGACCGAGCCAAGCCTGTCTCTGCCGCCTGACCCTCTTTCACTGGGCCTCCAGCCAACCAGCAGCCTTCACAGTGGGGGAAGGGCCACTCCAGCTTTGCTAGCAATAATGGGCCTTCAGCTCAGCCTTCTGAAGGAGCAGAACTCAGCACAGAATCCCCTTTCCTGGGGACCAGAGGAGTGTGGCCCTCCTCATGTGGAGGGAACAGTGTGATTCCTCCTTCAGCTGTTCAGCTCACTTCCAGTCAGTTTGAATAAAAGTAATAATTTTCTACTTAATGTCCAGGAGCCAGGAGCAGCTCAGCTTCCATCAGTGGGACGTGGACTCTGTCCACCTCATACTGGACGTGGTGGCAGTTAACCTTCCTTCCAGACTTCATGTAAATGTTGTTTTTCCTCATATTTCAGTGATTCCTGAATTTCCGGAGTTCACTCCACCACTTGACTAATACATGCCGCTGCTGACACCCATTTCAGATGTTTTCAGTTTTACATGTCTAGATTGCTTAAGTAGCTGGTCATTCATCTTGAATTAAACTGGGGAAAATGGGTGTTAACATTTCTTATTTGGATGCTGCAAATAAGAAAAGGTAAATGTTGAAATGAACCCCTTCATCATCTTCACTGTACATAGAACAAGTCTTTCTTTGCTACATTTAAACTATAACCACGTAGATTCGTCCGCTCTGGACTCCTCAGCTAGTCTTAAAAAATGAAAATAAACCGTTAATTTGAACCAAATCTGGTTTCCGTACATTTATTTAGCCTTCGGAGGCAATTTCCCCCCTTTTGCCAACGTGGGATTCTCACCCACTGTGAGTTGAATGTGTTTTGCTTCCTCATTTGGGGGTGGAGGCAGGACCCACAGTCCAGGTCCTAGAATCCCTGAGATGGGCTAGCTCAGCTCTGGGGCAGCTGCCCAGGTCACACAGGAGGGGCACTCGGAAGCGGGCAGTTGAACAGTGTACAAAAGTCGACACTTGGTTTATGCCTGCCGCTGCAGACCTCGATGGAACCTCACCTCTTCCCTCTGTTCCTTGTTTACATTCTCTTCCTCTACCAAACTCACTGAATTATGTTCTTGGGTAAATCTGCTTTTTTGATCTCAAATCATTGACCATGCTATGGTATGTGTTTCTTACTAGTGGTGGTCTCTTTCTATGCTTGTCTGTTACTTAGGTGAAAACTGAGCTTAGGGGGTGGGGGATAAGATTAGTTCCAGACTTAAAGGGGGACCACCAGTTGGTATCTGACCCATAGGAGTCCTAGTGTGGTGTTGCAGGATTATGCGCCTTGACTGCAAGGTCAGTTTGAACGCCAAGGTTGGTGATTCAAACCCACCAGATACTCAAACCCTACGTAGGGTCTCTGTGGGTAGGAACTGACTTGACTTCTTCCTTTAGTACCATCAGTTCTTAATTTTATGCTACCTCTTGAAATTAACAGTTTAAGAAGTAAGGTATGCCTGACCCAATTTATGGTAGTTTCAATCAGCTCATATCCCTGTGAAAGTTGGTTAGCAAATAAGACCACAGAAGAATCAATGCACTTGAGTAGCTCATGGTATTGGAGAAAATACACTGAGTATACCGGAACAACCAACAAATCTGTTTTGAAAGAGCGTGGCCAGGTTGTTCTTTGGAATTGACATTGGTGAGACTTCTTCCTGTCTTTGGACATCTTGTCAGGAAGGACATCAGCTGGGTAAACAGGGTCCAAGAAAGAGGTGACAACAGTGGTCTCAACTGTAGAGACACAACAGAGGTAGGGAGCGTTTCCTTCTATTGTGCATAGATAGACAGGGGCGCTAGGAGTTGGACCTGACAGGACGGCACCTAACCACTACCACATAGGATTAAAGCGGGATGGGAGTGGCTGGAACCTTCATACATTGCTGAGCGTTAACCAGCAGTGCCAACTACCTCCACCCTATAAGAGGGTTCTTGCCTTCTACTGACTAAGAATAGTGTGGGAAGGCAGTTTTCATAATGAGCCAAGTTTTATCATAGGAAAGAGGCTTGTAAACAATGCTTAACCCCAGTCTCCCCAAACAAAAGACTGCTGGGGTTTGAATAATTTTGGGGAAAAGCCATGTATTTTCAGAGCAATCGGTGGGGTTTCCCAGAAAGTGCCCTATTGAGAAGGGGTTAATTGGGTCCATTTTGATC